TCCTGTGTTATCTCATAATTCAGCTGATTCTCCCCAAGAAACATTGTGTGCTTTGCCTTCACCTGGCATCTACATATTAAGTCTTCACTTATGCCCAATTTAGATGATTGAATTATTAGTTTGGATTTATATGTTTTAACTCACAAAATCTCCCTTGATTTTTTCTAGTTATTATGAAATCAATGTTTAGGACAAAATAGAGAAAGAAAAGAGTTTCTGATGTGCTAAATTTCATATAAAAGAATGTGATTTTAAGATATTTTGAGTTGCTCTCTGGAAAAAAATTATTTTTATTCATCAGGTTTCAATTTGTTCTTCAAACACATATCTGCTCTGTGTAATTTTTTCTGCTGTTTTTAGTTATTTAATACCTTCTACTCATTGCTCTTAATTGTTTTTTTTTTTGTTGTTGTTGGTCATGAGGCTTGAACTCTGGGCGTGGGCTGTCCCTCAGCTTGTCAGCTCAAGGCGAGCACTCTACCACTTGAGCTACAGTGCCACTTCTGGTTTTCTGGTGGTTTATTGGAGATAGGAGTCTCATGGTCTTTCCTGTCTGGGCTGGCTTTTTACCAGGATCCTCAGATTGCAGCCTCCTGCGTAGGTAGGATTACAGGCGTGAGCCACCAGCGCCCGGCTTGCTCTTAATTTTTAAGCAATGGTTTTAAGAATTAGTCATTTGGCTCTAATTAGTCATTAGTATGTTGTCTATATCCTGCACTGATATTATTTGAAAGTGGCCATTTCATGAAATGCATACAACTAGCCAGGTACTGGATGACATATGCTGAAATCATGCTACTCAGGAGGCTGAGATCTGGAGGACTGCAATTCAGAGCCATTCTGGGAGGAAAAGTCTATGAGACTCCATTTTCAATTAACCAATTAGTAAAAAGTTTTAAGCAGTTGAGTACCAGTTGAGAAGCAAACTGAGATTAGCACAAAGGACCAGCAATCAAATCCCACTACCTTCAAAAATGTATACAACTATAAAACTATTTACATTATTTTACAGGGATATAAAGAACTATGCTTGTCTTTTGCTTTGTGTAAACTTCTTGATTGCCAGAGTAGATATGCAGAGAGGATACACAGAGAAGCACAGAAGTTTCCTAACTTCTTCCTAGAGTGACCAATATCATTACATTCTCGAGAAATTATGAACACAGAATTATAAAAGGACAGGTCATTGTGTTCATTGCCCCTCTCCCAGCGTTTTTGCATTTTGCTGGTAGGTACTTCATTATTTCCTATTCACTATTTGGATAAACTAGTAGTTCCTGACTTGCTTCTTGGTATGGAAAGCTGTTCCAGACTCCTTTTGTACATTCCCTACACAAAACACCAAGTCAGCCATTTCTTTCCGGGATTCTTAGTTTTTTTTTTTTAATTTTTTAAAGAAGAAAAGCCCTATTTTGCCTTCTTTCTTTTTTCTTATGTCAACACAATCTAGAGAAAGACATGTCAGCAGTACAGAAAGCTGAAAAAGATACCACTCAGCATTCATGTTAGTTTGAATATGAATATGCTTGTTACAGAAAAGTATTGAGGTGTTAAAGGAGGAGTTGGATAGGTGTGAATTTAAGCAATCACCCTAGTCAGTGACAATGATTGGTTAAGGCTTTGAGGGATGTGCCTTCATTGTCTCTCCATCTCAAATTAGATTAAGGAAATTATATAGCTCTCCGAACTCTTAGTTTCTCTAACCACAAAGGATGTACTTACAAAAGCAAATATTCAGATGACTGGAAATTAATATGGTTACTTTCATTAGGTCTTGGCAGTATGAGACATGATAATCCAGTTTGGTTTTTAAACTGCTGGATACTTTTGTTTTATTTGTTATATCCCTGTTGACAAATGAAACAAATGGTAAAACACATAAAATCAGGATTGACCTTTTCTGTAGAACAATTTGTGGTATACTAAAGCATGGTATTATTTACATCTACTGACCCTCTTCTCCAGTGCTTTCCTTTGCAGAAAAATTTAGTCCTTTATTATAGGCTAACAGAAACTACTAGTAGAATTCATTCATCCTTGTTACTTTTGCTTATAGTATTTCCTTACAATTCATTTCCCATTTTTGTTGTATAAATTCCACCCAACTGCAAAAGAAATGCAAGCATTTTCTTCTGGCAATGTTTATGTAATAAACAGATAAGGAGTAGAGATTGGCTGGAGTGAACATCTAGAATACTACCTTCCCACCTCTGATTGCCTTCTTTCTTTTTTTTTTAAATCTTGGCTAACTACATAGTCTCTTTATAAATATGTATGCGTCTGTCTTCATTCATTTTTAGAGTGCTAGATCCTATGAATGTTCCAAGTGGAGAAGTAGCTTTTGAAAGATCATTTGGAAGAATTTGATCTTCATACACACTTCAGCAGAGTGGGAGGGAAAGCCCCGCCACCCCTTCCTTGAGAGAGCATTTCGCTCTGTGACTGCGGTCTTTGTACAGCAGTTGGCTCTGGTACACTTGTCCAGACACAAATTGAGTCCGACAGGACTGACATCTCCTGGACTTTGCTGTCATCTGAAAGGCAGGCATGAAGAAGCAAAGCTGTAAAAGGGGATGGAGGAGGGGGCAGGGAGGAGAGTGGGTTCCCTTTGCCCCTTTCCTATAAAGACTTCTAACATTCTAGAGCTATGAAGTGTTTGAAAAGTTGCTTATACATGTCAGATTGATAACAATAGCTGTTTTGGACCAGCTTTCTCCCTTTTAGATTCATGAAGATGAGTTTCAGTGTACAACTTACCTTTTCATGCACCCTCATAAATCTCTTACAAAGAACAGAGGAAAGAGGCTAGCTAGTGGAATGGTAATTAGAATGATTCCTCTTGCCTTTTAGTTTTATCTTCCCTGCATTCAAACCACTCATGCATAGTAATGTAGGTAAAAAAAAAGATAATATCTTACAAAAAATTGTTCTCATGCTCAAGTTCAGTGTCATGAAAGATCCACGATCGCGTCTGCATTACAATTCTTTTAAAAGTACATGTTATTTTGGAGGATTCGTTTATTTCTGGATATCTCTAGTAGTCGCAAGAGTTTTGTGTGTTTCAGTCATGCTCATACACAAAAATTGTAAGATACTCTGTCATTCTCAAGTTCTTATCCTAATAATAGAGAAAGCAAATCCAATCTCCCCCACCCCCTTGTGTACTGTGTAGAAGAGGCTGTGCTGGATTTTTAGAAGGTTCTCTAAGAATAATTCTTTGTCTCTTGAAAGACTATGAAATTATTGCTGGGAGTCAGTCTATCACAACCTCCTTTCTTTTTCATCCTATTCAGGACTACTATCCTTCTTGTATTACTTCTCCCCTGAGATTCTAGCAGTGATCCAGTAGCTTTCTCTAAATTGTCCCTGATTTAGCTGTCAGTTAATCTTCTCAAAACCTAGTCCCATATGTGTCCTTTACTTAAAAAAAATAGCTCATTTTCTGGATTGCTAAATAAAGGTCTTTAGACTTAGATTGGAATCCACAGATCTCTGTGACACATTTTTAAGCCTGAGCCACTTTCTTTTGCTACATCTTCTGTTTTCCTAACAGAGGCCTCATCCTAATTCAGTAGTTCATAATATATATATATATATTATATTAATATATATATATAAATATAAATTCTTGGACTGTACCACAGACCTAATGATCCACATACTCTGCTGTGCTACCCAGATACCTGTTTAAACAAGCCATCCAAGTCTCAATATCTTGGAAACCCTGCATTCACCCAGACAGACAATATCCTTTTTCCATAATTTCATTCCCATTTTCCTGCCTTTGCAGAAATACCTTTCCCTCTTATTGTGAAATCCTGCTTATCGTTTAAAGCCTAGTTTGAGACAGTACTTTACTCATTCTTGAGCCTGTCTTCTTTTTTTAATAGCATTTAGTTGGTTTTCTTTCCTAGTACAAATTAGTTACTAATTCACACTCATTATCTGGTATCCCTGATGAATCTGGGATTTCATAAAGGATAGAATCATATGAGACATGATGGATCATGCCTGCAACTCCACTTACTTCAATAGACACAGGACGATCAAGTTTGAGGCCAGCCAGGGGAAAAGTTAATGACAGCATACCTCAAGAGAACAAGCCAGGTGTGGTAATATACATCTGTAACTGCTACTAAAATGGAAGCATTGGTAGGTGGATCATGTTCCAAGACAACCTGGGTGAAAAAGTGTAAGAGTGCATCTGCAAAAATAATAAAGGCAAAAACGCTATATAGTCAAAAATGAAAAAAGAGTAAAAATGGAGTGTGACCCATTTTTGTACCTCCAGATACCTTGGACTCCATGGCTCTTTTCTGATTGACTTATACACACAGTAGGCACTCGAAAAATAGTTTGTAAGTTCTTGACTTTACAGTGAGGATGGAGATGGTCAAGCTGTGGCCTAAGAGGCTCGTGCAAATCCTATTCAATCAAAGAGACTCATGATAACTACTATTTTCACTTATTGAAATCAACATAAACTTGAACATTGAAGTGTCTTTAATTTTAGAAGCCCAGTATGCTAATGTGAGAAATTCTGATTTCCACTGGTTAGCAAAGGAAGTTGAATTAGGCCTGTCAATTCCCATGTAGCCAAGACAGTATCCTCCATTCTGCTATCATGAGTAGACTTTTATCTGGGATGGAGGAGCCTGTCTTCCATCTTTCTTTTGGCTATGGTACTTTTTTGGATTTACACATTCATGTCACGTTTCCTATGAAACAGCCTCTTCTTCAGACTGGGTTGCTCCAAAAGTGGCACAAACAAAAAATGTAATTCCACGTGGCTGCTGTAGAATGGCCTGGATATAGGAAGGCTAGAAACCCCATATTTTATGCATTGTTATTTCCTAAAGCAAAGACATGACAGTATTACTGTGTGTTTGCAATGGATTGTGACTCTCTGTTGGTGATAGATCAGGGGGTAAAAAAAATTTTAGAGTGAGAAATCTGAACATTTTGTGTTTTTTTCCCTTTCTCTTTCTCTCTCCTCTCAGGCTCTGAAAGGGTTCCAGTTGCAATTTCAGAAGATAGACTCTCTGCGGCTCCCTGGGCAGTAGTGATTGCACACTGCCAGCACAGGCTGCTGACGAGCTGAACTAAGTACAGGATGGTGCACATCACCAGGCCGCTGTTGCTGCTCCTTGCCTTCTTCCTCCGCGTGGATGCTGAGAGTAAGCCATCCTCCCTTCTCTAGGGGGCTGTGACCATAATGAGTGGTTTTGTTTGCAGTTGGCACCAGGCTCAAGGCCTGTGAATACATTTCCTTTGGAAGTAAATCCTGAGACACTGTGGGATCCTCCCTGGCGACCAGCCAACCTTTGAAAGGGATTATTGGTGTGATTTCCTTCCCACTTCCTCCCCTGCTTAATGCCTCTTTTCTTGTGCACCTCACTGTTCCTACTGTTTATTTTACTTTTCTTTCCTTTTTTTACACCTCTTACCAGCTTAGTGGTAAAGATATTATGAGACCAGTGATATATCTCAAACTGAGGCTAACCAGTTGGAGGGGCCAATAAATAAACCTCGTTTAGACCCATTAGAAATTTTTTTGGAGTTATATGGATTTTCCTATGTTTAGAAAAATGCACAATGTCACATCGAGCTCAATTAAACTTGCAAGCCCCTTGTAGCTGCCACAGCAGCTGTTCTGATGTACTGTTTCCAACAGCTGTCCTCGGGTACAATATTCAAACAAATCAAGCAGAACTGACAACTTTGTGCCTTGGTCGAGGGTCTGAAGCATAAGGAGCATTCTTTGGAAGACAGACACCCAAGTTTGGATGACTGGACACAATGTGTGAAACTGAAGGTGTGGTCCATTAGCTTGCCAAATGAATGAGAAGATCTTCTCTCCTTTTCAGTTAGGCAATCCTTAGGTCTACCTTGTTCATAGTGTGTTTCTTCTTCCATCTGTCCTGTGGTGGAAGGGAAGAGATAAGGCTGCCAAAATAAAAAGCGTGTGTCTGGCTTGTGTTCCCTGACATGGGGTGGTTTTCTTGGTAGTGGGTTAATATATGTGAGTTGGCCTTTTTGGAAGAAGTCTCCTGGTAAGATTAAAATGTATAACATCTGTACTCATTAATTATTTTTTTTCCTCCACTGTCTATCCCTGTGAGGTTAAATTTGATCCATGTTAAGAATATTTTGAAGACAAGGGTCCTGTGTCATCTCAACCCCTTCTTATTAATTGCATTTTGACAAGAATTCCCTGAATAATCACCAATTGCTTCATTTAAATAAGGGCTGTGTGTTCTAAAGGGACCTTTTATAGAGGGAAATCATGATGTTATTATTAATCGGATACATATGGAACATTCATGTTTTAAGCACCGTGTTCTCTGGTTAAGAGCGTACATAGTCTCCTAATTAGCACTTGGGAGTATTGGTTTAAGGTGAAGCCAAGGAATTTCTAGTACAATGCCAGGAAATAATTAAGTGGGAAAATATCCAGATGTAAGACGCTCGTTATTTTAAAGTCATTTATGTCAAAATGTATTTTAAAGTTGAAATCTAGATTTAGCTTATTAGAAAGAAATGGGGCCATATGGGTTTATTTATTTATTTTGTTTGGACTTAATGCACCAAAATAACTTGTTTCACTCTCATTAATTTTTGGTGAAAACCAATTAAGACCCCCCTATAATATTAGATCACAGTTAGATACGTTCCTGGAAATTCAATTATTATAGACCTGTACTTATCTTTCCATTAAGAAAGAATGTTCTTCTTTTGAGAAGCTATGGCTTGGCTTAACTCTCCCGTGGAAAGTGCAGAGAGAAGTTAAGAGTTTGGGAACAAGTTTTCTTAAGATTGTGTTTTGTAAAGCAGTCTATGGTGCACATAACACTTACCTATTCTTCCTGGTCCTCCTCTTCTCCTTCTCCCTTTCATTGTCCTTCATTATTTGTCTTACAAGGTAGTCTAACAAAAGAAATTACAGACTATTGTTCAGTAATTTTTAGTTGAATATAGTTACATGAAGATATTTACCAGGCTATGTATTCTTTGGATATCAGTGTTCTTCCCTGTGCCAACCTGTATCATGATCCTCCATTTATGCATACCTAAGGAAAGGCACTTGCTACTTTGCCCAATGTTTTTATTGGTTGAGATGATGTCTCTTGGACATGTTTGCTAGGCTTCCCTTGACTGTAGTCCTTCTAAAGTCAGTCTCTGACTTCTGAGTATATACTGTAATGAACCTGAGCTACTTCTTCCAGCTTTGTGATATCAGCTTTTAATCATTAATTAGTTTTTTTTATTACTTCTTACTCTTCCCACTACTGGAAGATAGGCTCAGGCTTCCAATTTTATTCTGTCTCTTCTGGTTTTGGTATACTATATCTTTTTTTAATTAATAAGTTTTTTTATTGTGAGAATACCATACAGAGGGGTTACAATTACATGAGCAAGGTAATACTCTATCTTTAAATGCTGTTCATTTGGCCCTATTGAAAAGAACATGTGTATCCTGAAATTTCCTGGCAAAGAGGAAAATGTGACCATGTTTTTTCTAAGTGCAATTTAGGAGAAGGAATATTCATTATCAATCTACGAGAATGTATTTGTGGTACAAGAAAACAATGATAGAATTGCAGATATAATTTTAGTCATTTAAGAATCTTTAAACTCCAAGTGATAAAATTGAGTCCATATTATAGCTCAATACATTGTGCAGAACCTTTTCTTGTGACACTTAAATATGATGTAAATAGTACAAAAGAAAAATAATCATTTTGTTATATTAAGGCAATTATTTTAGCCTTTTATTACTGAATCAGATATTCTTTCTTTGGACTACATTAAATATCCATTCATGCTTGGTTTCTCTTTTACCTTCACTGCATTTTAGTGTGTGTGTGTGTGTGTGTGTGTGTGTGTGTGTGTGTGTGTGTGTGTGTGTGTGTCCTAGTATTGGACTTTGAATTCAGGGCTTCATGCTCTTTTTTGGCTTTTTCGCTCAAGGCTGAAACTGTACACTTGTGCCACAGCTCCACATCTGGCTTTTTGTTGGCTAATTTGAGAGAAGACTCTCAAGGACTTTTTCCGCTTGGGCTGGCTTTGAATCTCCATCCTCAGATCTCAGCCACCTAAATTGCTAGGATTACAGGTATGAGCCATTTGTTCCTGGCTCTGCATTCCATATTGATCCAAGGAATTAAGAGGTATAGTTCAAAATTTAATAGTAACTTGCCAGTGCCATTTGAAAATTCTGAAATAATTAAAAAAAAATCTTTTCCTCTTTTGTAAAAGATTACTTGTGGGTAAGAAATAGAAATAAGCCACTCTAGTTTATCATGATAATTTAAAATATCCTACCTTTCTCCTTTTTTGAAATGACCAATTCCCAGTACCCTAGAAGTCAGGATTATAATCTGCTCTGTAGAGGCCATAGAAAAGTGTTAACTGTGGTGTTTGCATTAAGTACGAGAGCTTTTTACTAGCCTTAGATCAAACCTAGGTTGAAAAATTGTGATCATATCCTTTAGTAGAAAATTATAGTCTTTGCCATTGTGACTTTAAAATGTCCTACCAATCCCTACTATTATTTTTTAAAAGGCTAAAAGTGTGTGTGGGGGGGTATGTGTTTTCATTTCTGTCTTTATCACTCTAGAGGATTTTGTTTGTTACTTTAGAAGGAATGTTTGTATGGTAGAGCTGTGGCCAAGGATCATGTGTGACTTCCATTGAAACACCTTTTCTTGGGCAGAGATTGCCTGTAGTTTAAATCAATTCAACAATAGTGTGAATACAATTAAATATGAATTTCAATTTTGTTAGTGTAATTCTGTGATGAATCTTTTTTCTTTCTGGCAGAGTTTTATAATGGGTTCTGATAGTTTGGTTTCATACATACCTTTAATTTGCTCTTTACTGGTGTTCTTGCAGCTAATTAATTTTTCTGTTGTAAAGATGATGTAAACAGGGTTACAGTTACACAGTTCAGGTAATGAGTACATTTCTTTTTGAACAGTGACTGACACCTCTTCCCTTGTTTTCTCCCAGTTTTTCCCCTCCTGACTCTCATCCCTTACAAGTTATATAGTTCATTTTCAACATTGTGTCAAATGAGGATCACTGCTGTGTTAGTTTACCCTTTCTTTTTCATTTCTTGTTTTTAAGCTGCAATCTGAGAACCTTCTGCTAGCATCTTCTTTGTTAGACCAGTTTTACTCTACTGAAATAGTGTTCAACTTGTTATTAACACATTAGACCTGACATGAATTGTTCGCTCCTATAAGTAGACTTCAGTCTTTACCAGATGTGTTAGAAACATAAACGTTTATGTCCCCCAATGGCTTCATTCCTCCATTTTCTCTGTTTTGTCAATTTTCTAAAAGATTTTTTGATGGCAAATGATGGGAATCTGCTTTGTTCTCTTTCTTTTTTTGAATTTAATTTTATTGTCAAGGTGATGTACAGAGGGGTTACAGTTACACCTGTAAGGTAGTGAGTATATTTCTTGTCAAACATCATTACCCTCTTCCTCATGTCTTCTCACACTTTTCCTCCCCTGCTTTGTTCTAATAACTCCATGTTGTTCCCTTCTCAGCCCAATCTTTTTATGTATCTAAAGAACCTACATGAAGGAGTTGCCTCTCCCCTCTGAGCCTATTCTTCCTATGTATCCAAAGAAGGGATATGAAAGATTGACTCCTACCCTGTTTAACCAGGTGCATACAGACATCAGGCAAGATATGTCCACCAAAGATATGGGCACACTGTGTGACATAGGCAGGGCCATCTTCCTAAGCCTGGCCACTGTGGGCCTAGCTGAAAAGCGCCCCCCCACCCCCGCATGTCTCTTGACCGTGTGGCTTTCTCATTAACCTCTGTTCCCCTGCTAGACATCATAAAATCCCATTCCTGAGTTCACCTCTTTATACAACGTTAATACTTGTGGGAAGGTCTGTGTCCCTCACTGACATTAAACAATTCTAGACTTCTGTGATCAAGTCCAGCTTGTTCCTTCCTTTCTCCTGCATTTTCCTACCAGAAAATGGTCCTTCATTTTCCTTTTTGTAAAAGAGCCTCCCTCTTTTAATACTTCCTTCCTATATGAGGACTAAAAGGTCCCCCTCTCTTTGGAATTCCAGTATCCCATGGAACCCCCTTATCTCTTTGCCATCAGTGAATAGACTGGTGTTTATGCTGTGAGTTTGCCAATCTG